CGTGCATGCCCCCGACCAGGGATCAAGCCGGAAATCCAAGCATGTGCCCTGATGGAGAATTGAACCAGCATGCTGTGGTGTGTCTTAATGTTCCATGTATACTTGAAAATTACACACACACACATACACATATATATATATATATATGTTGATGATCTTGCTAATTCACACAATTACACAAACTTCAATTGTAGTTGATGGTTGACTGGGAGGTGCCATAATTCTCAGGGCAAGGAAAGGGAAAAATAGATTAAAAAAAAATCAACAGTCAGTAAACATGTAACTCCGAAGGGAGCTTGTTCTTAAGTGAGAAACTGACTCTTGTATTCAAATGCTGGTGGGACACAGCTCCTTTGCGGTGAGTGTCCGCGCATCTTTGATGTGCAGGCGTCTTGTAAACTGGGAACCACACATACCCTAATAATACCCCCAGGAGAACCTCTAGGTCCTAACTGTGTCGCAGAGGGTGTGATGTGGGCGGGAAGGACAGAGACTGCGGTCTCTGGGGATTCGCTCTGTGCAGACATCAGTCTATGCCCTGGCCCACAGCATCTCAGGACATCCCTCGTCATAACTCACTGAGGTGGGTCTTTAACCAAACTTTACAAATGAGAACACTGATCTCCAAAAAATATGAAGTAAACTGCTTATGATCACACAGCCAGCCAGGAGGAGACTGTGATTTGAGCCCCAGAGCCAAGGCCGGAATCCTGCCTATTTGATTACAATTCTGGCGCTCCTTCCACTAACGAAAATGCCCCTTTCTCAAGAGGCTTGGTTTCCTAATCAGGAAAGGGAAGAGGTCCCTTTCAATTCTATATTGTCTGGCTCTTTCAATGCATACATTTTAGGATTAGAGATTGGGGATTGTGTGTTTGATGTCTACCACATATATGTGCGGTTCAAATATCTGTGATAGCTAAGCCTTCTGTGGAATTCAAGAGCCCAGGAAAGGAATTTAATAGTAGCTAATGGGCTAATGGAGAGCAATTTTCCACAGAATTTCAGCTCTATTCCTTAAATCAGGGGTCCCACAGCCTGGGAACACACGTTGCCATGAGGAATACAGGAAGAAGCAGATGCTGGACTTATCTTTTGCACGATTTATTCTTTTTGTTGTTGTTAATTCTCACCCAAAGGTACTCTTCCACTGACTTTTAGAGAGAGTAGAAGGGAGGGGAGAGAGAGGGAGAGAGAGAGAGAGAGAGAGAGAGAGAGAGAGAGAGAGAGAGACACATCGATGTGAGAGACACACATCAATCAATTGGTTGCCTCCTGCATGTACCACGACTGGGGCAGGGGATCAATGCCCTGACCAGGGCCAGGGCTGGAGCCTACAATTGAGACACATGCCCTTGACCGGAATCGAACCTGGGACCTTTCAGTCCGCAGTCTGACACTCCATCCACTGAGCCAAATGGGCTAGGGCCTCACCATTTATCCTTACTATAACAATATTTTAGAGAAATTTGTCTTGACGAGGTGATAGCTTTAAATTTGGCAACTGCAGGAATTCTCATAAAACCCCAAAATGCAGTTTATCCGGTTGATGCCACTTGTTCATTGCAGATTATTCATTCATACATGCACTTATTGAGTTCTGCTCTACCCAGACATTTATCCAGGTGATTAGATTGTACAGATAAGAAGGTCACACTCTACGCCCAGTGAGTTTCTGACCTGGTGGACAAGAGCAAAGCGCAAACATATAACTACACTGGACTGTGACAGTTGATCACTGAGCTGTGTGAAAGTTATTGTTGTGGATGGAGAATAAAAGAAATGATTAACTTTTTCCAAGCAAGGGGAGCATGTAAAGCTTTACAGGTGTAGGGTTTTAGATCTGCTGTCTGAACAGAGTTCTGAAGAATGATTCCGAGTTTGCCAAATGGACAAGTACAATCTGCCAGAATCATTTCATTAACCAGCACCTTCTATTTGCCCATAATGCCAATTTGCCGGTCATCTGGAGTTAATTGTACAAAGTTAACATTTGCACGTGAAGCAAGAAAGAACTTTTTCTGAGAAGCGAGCTATCAAACCTGGCTCTTCAGGTTTCCTCCTGGGGAATGCTGTTAGGTAGCTATTTGTGCTTTTAAAGCTAGGATAATCACAGGTTTGCACAAAATGTGGCCTAGTCCCCTCATAGGTAAGGGGAAATTTCAAAATAATCTCAACAAAATATTTACCAATTGTTATACTTATCACACTACATCTGTGACAGCTGGCCTGCTACACAAAGGAGAGTGTCAGACACAGAGCCTGACCTGAGATGGGTAGCCAATATGATTTGGTTTAAGGAAGGAGAGAAACCAAACCTATAAAACCGAAGAAATACTTTAATGGGAAACTCATTTCAACTTTAGCACAGATGGCCCCTAAGTGAGCTGCAAGGTGTGACACTCACCTTGAATAAACCTCAAGGGCACAAAGTCTAAGAAAGAAACCAGGCAATACATCCGGAAGACACCAGTACTCCCAGAAAGCTTTAGGAACGACAAGCCTCGTGAAGGGTTATGACCACCCTCTCAATGAACACCGGCCTTCTGGCTTAGACCAGAATTAATACGCAAAGGACAAACTATTTACTTTTCACAGCCTGACTGCCAAGGTCATCTAAACAGTATTTTTTTTTTTCTCTATCAAGGTTGGAAAGGTGATTATTGCTAGTACCAGGTGTGCTTAAGAGTTCTGAAATGCTGGGACTCTTTCTCCTCATTACAAAGTCAACAACACTGGATTCCAAATATTTCAGTATCTGTATTCAGGGACTCACGTGGGACTTGACACAAGCCCCAGTGCTCTGACAGGGGAGCCCGACGGGGCCTGCTTGGAGGACTGGGAAAAGCCTTAGCATTCAGAAGGCTTCATCAAGGTCCACATGACACAAGAAAGCAGGCAAGAAATGCCACAAAGTTCTCTAGGTGTTGAGAAGAAAGTAGGAGAAGCTCGGGAAAATGAAGTTTAGCTCCCTCAGGTAGAAATGGGAGGGAGGAGTGTCACTCCCACATCAGAATCACCTGGGTCCTTGTAAAAATGCCAGCCCCTGAGTCCCGCCTCCTACATCAAACTCAGGCAGGAAGCCTGAAACCTGCATTTACTAGGCTTCCTTGGTGACTCTGAGGCCCATGAAAGTTTGAAAGCTGCTGAGACTGGGGCGGTAAATGACCTAATAGATCCGGGAGGCAGTTGATCTTTTGGTAAAATCATCTCATTTTACATATAATCGTGAATATGTCTCTATGTTAACAACTATACTTCTACTATATCTTTTTAAATGGCTGCTTAATGTCTTATACATGAAAGTACTACCATTTACTCAACCAATGCTCTATTGGTAGGTGTCCAACAAGAAATGATTTTATATAAATGTCAGCAAATCCACTGAGATTATGCACAGAATTTATAACAGAAAAACATTTTATCATGCGAAAGAAATCAGAACGCATAATTATATGACAACCACCTGAAACAGACTGTTCGTTTTAAAAATACCAGGGAAGGAAATAGCGCCATAGCATATTAAGCCTTAAATTAAATAATGGGTGAGTCCCCTTACAAGAATTTTTTAAAATGATGTTTTTAAATAACTGTATAAATTATGCTACAAAAAAAAAAAAGAAAGAAAGAAGAAAGAATTGAAAATAGCACATTACTTAAGTCAGGTTATAAACTCAGCTTCCAAAGTTCACACCTGCTAATGGCTCATTACAAAAAAACACACCAAACACTGGCACACAAAACAAGGACAAAAAGCACCAGCGAAAGTTTCCAGAATGGCTATGCTTGCAGAGCGGTATTCACAGCTCAACGCATTTCACCTACATCCACTTGACAATGACAGCCATGAGCAGGAGGTACTGGTAGTACCTTTCACACGGGTGGACACAGTCTTAAGTGACCAAAGGCAGTGGTTCTCCAAGTGTG